TTACTCATCAGGCTTGTTAAAAGTCTAAACGTTTTGACGGAGAAAACTTGGTATTTGTATGATCCTGCATACAGTTATTTTCAGCATTTCTCATAATAACAACATTTCGGTAGTTTTCAATAGATATATTTGTATTGGTTTTTATTATTGTTAATACACAGTATTCGTTTAGTTATTCCATTCATGCACATTTTTTTATCACAGTCAGAACAGTTTTAAATATAAATAACCAGTTTGTGGTCGGAAACTAGAAATACAAAAATTTTAAAAACACTTCAGTCGGTTTTGAAGCCAACAAAATATCCTGAAAATTCAATACCCTGTATCTCAGTAATGAAACTCATATGTATAGGACATGTTCACTGCATTTACGTTGATCGACTAAAACCTAAAGGTGGGTAATGTTTTTAAACCTCCCTTTGGTTTAAAATAACATTAAAAATATGATTACAATATGGCTACTTAAAAATATGTAACGTTCTTGTGCTTAGGTAAAAATTTCAAGATTTTTATACAAAATTAACACGTGTGTATTAAAATCGAAAATATTTGCAATTAGAATAGGATGTTTTTGACCAATTTGATTTGATTTATTCCTCAATAGCGCACTTGCCTCTGTAAAATATGAAAAAAGTATTTTCAATTACAAGAATGTTTAGTATGTTATTATCTTTTATTATAAGCCAACAAAAATCCTGTGTAGTGCATGGCTTATATTTGAACAAGTATTCAGAAATGAGACAACCAGACAACTGAAGTTAGTGACTAATCTCAAACAATTCACTGAAATAATTCGTTCACTGAAATAATAAACAGTGGTAAGGCGAAATAGAACGAAATATTATTAGCGATTACTAAAAAGCACGGAATTTCAATTAAGAAGTTCCAAGAAATAAGGATATTCCAAAATCAACAGGACGTTCCATTTTAAATCACCAAACAATTCTTCCTTGTAAATACAGAAGTTGGCAAGGTTGTATACCAGGTCGGGCTGAAAATGGCCATTTTCTATAAGAAATAATATGATCTGATGGGTCTTGTTCAAATAATGCTGTGGGGAAGGGTGCAGTTTTGGTGCAAACGAAATTCACGCGTATACGAATAGTCAATACTCTAAAATCTACTCGTATTTAATGTTCCGACGGGAATTTCGGAAACAAAACCGTCCCTTTTGAACATTCACAATGAGTCTACGGAACGCTAATTACAAAATTGTAAATCTGCTTTTTTATGGAGGAGGATAGAAATAAAGTCTTTATCCGAGGTGCGTGATTGTTGGTTTTCGCAGGAAGGTGCACCTGCCCAACTTTCAAGAAGTGTTAAAGATATACTTCGGTTACATTTAAACAAAGACTTGTAAGCACGTACTCTGAAACGTCCTGGCCATGGACAGGACTGCTGACAGTATTTCTAAAGGATACTTTGAAGCTTATCGTAATAATTCCATAAGAGATATGTTTAAGGCCTAAAAGTTGTTTTACAGTACCGTCTAAAACGTTCTAAAAGAATTTTTGAATTTCAATGTGATCGAAAGTGTTCTCAATTTTCTGGACATTGCAGTCATATAACTGTGAAAATAATTACTTAACAGCTGCTATTCGCTAAATCTAAAAAAGGCATTACAGGCGAAATGAATAAACATGAGATATATATCAACAACAAAACAGAAGATAATAAGAGGACGTTAAAAAGGACACAAATGGAAGTCAGAAGGAAAATAGTACAGAAGAAGAACGAGACCTGGGAAACGCGATGTAACACGTTCAACTGCTACTTAGGAGGGGCAAAAAGCACCGAAAGTTGGAGGTTACTGAAATCAATGCGCCAAAATAATGGAGATATAATATCGCCCATACCACTTCATAAATGGGATAAATATTTTAATGGACTCCTAACTTAAGACCGTCTAATTACACAGAGAACAACGACAATCATAATATAGAAATATTTGCATGACTCATCAGAATCAATAAAAACGAAGTTAAAGACGTTTACACCTATCTCAAAAACAGAAAAGCAACAGACCCAGGAAACATTCCCGCTGAACTGGTCAAGTATGGTTCAGATAAACTCTTGATGGGGAAGTGATGGTCTCGATCAGCAGGATCTAGTTCTCTTAGAGAGTTTTCGAGAAAATCGCGAAAATATGGTTTTAAAAAAACTGCAATTATCTCGATAACCAAAAGAGCTGCACAAAATCTAATCAGTTTATTTCGACTCTTTTGAACAAAGCGTTACATACAGATGTTTAGATTTTTCCAGCCTAAATGGTTCTTTCTCAATTTAACCTTGAAATCACATTGATCCTGACCTATTATTGTCAAGCTGGCCGTTTGGATTCAGCAGGTCAATTTACTACAGGATATGTGTCTCAACACCAGATATACTTTTTTAAATATTGATTTTTACTAATATTTATTAATTACTACGTTTCGGTGATGGTTTTTTATTAAGTCATCTCCTTTCAATAACTGTTACACACGAACTAATGTAATTAATGATGTAGCGTGCTCAAAATTTCACAGGACTACTTAACTTAAGAACAGTTGATGGGTGTAGTGTTGAATTTAAGTTACTGACCGGAAATTTAAAAAAACCACTGACTTATCAAACGAGCCTTGTAGAACAGTGGAACCATTTACAATATATATTCGAGAATATTGTAATTATCTTTACAAAAACTGCCACCATTTCAATTATATAAACAAGCACTCACGTCATATAATTGTATATGTTGGACTCACATAATCAAAAATTAAGTTAATAACACCCGAAGAAAAGAATCAGGCTTTAAAAACAATTAATGAGTTGGATTCTCATTATTAGGACATCTACCTGTTTTTAGTCACAAGGTCTTCGGCACGCAGTAGTCTATTTAAACATAAGTACTATGTTTTCGAAAACATAAAATAACTAAAACTAAATTCCTAAAAACAAATAGAATATAGTGGTTTCCTTTTACGTTCTTGTTCTAACAAAAGGATGAGGTGGAAATCGCGGCGCAGCTCCCAATAACTTAACATTTATTCTGCGCGGCTGTAGTACGCATTTTCAGCTCTTTTTGATTCGTATACTAGGATACAGAAAGATGATAGGTACAGAAAAAGAAGAAAAACTAATATTCTCATTCAAACTACATACATATTTATATAACAGAAACGAAAATTCATAAAGAGAAACAAAGCATTGTATATTATAATAATTTCACTTTTTTTATTTTTTAAAACCGTTGGGTTCTACTTTCGATTTTTGAAGATATTTTTATGATGCTGTTTTACTGATCTCAAAGAATTGTAAAAATATAAATATACAATTAAATCATGATTTTGATTAAAAAATAAAGTGACCTAATCATGATTTTAATCGTATCTAATTTGAATCAATTGTATAAATCAACGCTACTTGTTATCTTCTGGAAATGTAGTAAGTGTAAATGAGAAGAAAATTTGTTAGTAACGCGAGTATCTGGTGAGTGTATATTCAACTGCAACGGCGAAGGGAATGGAAACCATAAAATGACAAATATCGCTTAAAACTTAAAAAAAAAAAACTAAAGTGTATAATGCATGAATCCGTCGTGGGTATCCTTTCTCCCGAAGGGGTAGCCAGATGAGAGGCGCAGGAAGTTAGTAAATCAGGTTCGAAATAAACTTTCGCTGATGCAGATGTAAAAAAAGCATTCTATGAAGCGATTCATGTGGTTAGCAGAATTACAACCAGCACAAAATTAATTCAAAATTAAAATAGAATTTGCTTTCATCCCGATCACCACAGAGCCATAACTTTAATGTTTTTATATTTCGGATTACCCACATAGCTTCCTGCGGAACGCTTGAGAGTTCAGGGATATCGAATCAGCTTTAAAACATTAACAACGAATGTAAGTCTTGCCTTCGGTTTATATGAACGGAAAGAAAAGCGACCACGACTAATGACATCGAAAGAGTTTTTTGGTACGACAAATGTAGAAAAGAATATACAAGGTGTCCCGGGGGTATTTCCGTAGGGGGGAGGGGGCTGGAATTTTTTTTATAGATACTTGTCATGTTTTTTCTACGTCTCCTGTACAAATCCGAGAGCATGACCACATATTCCGGGACACCCTGTATACTTATTTAACAAATGACAATTTTTCAATGGACGAAGGAAATCAATATCAAAATGATAAAAGTGGACTTTTTTGGAACCAAAAACTAATTGGAAATGCTAATATTCAAGAAACTAATACAGAAAATTTAATTTATTTGTGGAAGAAAATTTTATATCACTGCTTTGAAAAGGCTTTAGAAACATTGCTGCTGGTTTTAATGAAAGCACTGATTGACCGAAAATCAACACTATACTTTACTTAGTTACTATTAAAAATGTAAGTAGGTAGTTTTTAATAAAACATGATAAAGATTACGGTCGGCAAAGTGTATGGTTTAAATGTTATACAATATCATCGTTTACTCAAAACAATTTACATTGCAAAAAAATAGTTTTTCTATTTTTGCGAGGAATACACTGCTGTGGGTGGAATGTTTTTTGCATAACTGGGCCCACTGAACTGTGTTGGGAATTTAATGCTCAAAAGTTTTATACGCGCTGCTACATGCAGGAAATATTCTCGTGCAAAATGTTATTTGTGTAGTATTCGGTGAGATCTACTAATTCAATAATAAGGAGGGAGGTTTAGAAGATGCAGATAGATCTGATTTGCAAAATTGTCAAAACATGCACGTAAATACGTTCCGTGTGTACGTACCTACTCTGTCATTCCACCCATTCCAAAAATTCAACCTTGGCTGATATAAATAAATGTACAAAAGAAATAGCAATGTATTATATTATCTTTTGAACGTTACATTATTGTTTATGTTCATTGCCAGCTGATAAATACATAAGCACAATCAACATCTGCTCGACATGCCAGCCAGCATGAATTGTTTGCGTAATATTAAATGGAAACTAATCGATCCACCGTGTCGGGGGAAAATAGCAAAACAAGAAAGTATTACCTTAAATAGTATCTTGAATAGTCAGTGAATTAAAGGCAAGAATTATTCTTCAACTTGGATGAATCACAACACAATGGGCGTAGGTAGTTCAAATGCAAAAGTCAGCAATAACACAACTTAGAAACACGGTACTCAACTGCGCTCCGAACTGCTGTTAATGTTGTGGTTCTTTCGCACAGTAATAGTCAATTACGTACACTGTTTTTTTTTCGAAATCGAGCAACAGCAAATGCAAAACTGCTGTGAAATGAAACGGAATGAAAGTGACGTTTCACGGTAGGTTATAGAAACATTTAAACTAGTGCGTTCCGAATTTCACTTGCAACGAATGGGAAAATATTTATTTATGGGCGATTCCACGATCGTATCTTAACTAAGGTTTAGCGCTAAACCTTGTTTATTAAGCCTATTTGACTTGCACCGTCAGATAAACTTGGTTTACGGGCATTAAGTGGAGTTTAAATTTAAAATATAAAAATGCAACATTTCTTCGTGAAGTCGATCTGTTAATCTCATTTTGATAATAAAAACTATAATAGAAATAACTAAAAATTAAAACTACAAAGTACTTGCATTAAATTCTAGGATACACGATATAGCCAATATTGAAAATAAGAAAAATAATAAGAAAAATGACGAATTGAATTGTGTAGAGGAGAAAAAAACGGAGGAACTAATTGTACGCAGTTAAACTTGCGTTTCTTTCGCTCCTTCTGGCCGACATCAGGGTTTTGCTGTGAACAGAATCGATCCCTTAACTGCAATTGCCCTCAGTGCAATTTTTGCATTGACCTGATTGACAAAATTCTGTTGAATGAAATAGACTTAAATACAGTTAATCTGTGTCCTTTGCGTATTGAACGTTTTAATAAACTTCTTACAAAGACACTGTTGTACAAATAAATTAAGTGGGAAATGGAAAAAATTTCTAAAACGAAAATTATCGAATCTCATTATAATATCAATAAAATGAAAATAAAAAAGATACTACAACAATAAATACTACAGTAAATCTACTTTAACTATTATACATCTTATATAGTGAATGTAACCATCAGAAAGTAAGGTCAATCGCGAGAGGATTCAACTTTCCGCCCCAGGATGACGATGAGGCTCTTGGTTTTGGGAGGACGTGGTGGTGCAAGGGGTATAGGGCCAGAGAAAATGCCTAGGCTTTGCGTATCTTTATATACTCTTTCAATCAACGCTAATAGCTATACGATAAGTATAAGCCATATACAGTGTGTCCAGTATAAAATGATGTACATGGGGATATTGGAAACCGTTAAAGATACAGAGCGGACCAAATGGGGAAAAAGTTGCGCAATCAAGTGCCTATAAAGAATCTGTCATCAACTTCTTTGAACTCGGAATAGCAACGGATATACAGGGAAGAAAAGAAAAAAATGCGTTTTATAAAATTCTTTATATCGTTTTTATTATAATAGATACAATAACGACCTTTTTAGGATGGAGGTAAGAAATGAGCGTAAATTTGAAAATAAAGTAAAAAATAATCTAGGCCCTGTGTCCAATGAGGCCGAAGTCAACTTTTGCTTTTCTTATGGGCGCTATATTAAATTTCTGCATTTTAAAATTCCTCTTTAAATATGCTCTTCAACCATGTATAACATGTTTATGTTCGGTCAAGATAAATAATTAAAATTAACAAAATTATAGATTTTATGGTAGTAGGCATTGATATTTCTCTTCAATTTTCCCATATTGACGTTCGTTTTCTGTTTTAATTACCTAGGTAACTGTCAAAGTAGAATTTATTGTCGGTGTCAAGTGTTTGCAATTAATTGTGTGTTTCAAAATGAATCACTTTTCAAATTATGAAAAATACGATATGTTGGAGTGTTTTATTCTCTGTCGTCGAAATGAAGCTAAAGATGAAGAAATGTATTTAAATAAATATCCAGAAAGGCGACAACCTGGTAGAACTATGATTAGGCGTCTGAAAGACAACCTTGTAGCTTACGGGAGTTTTGCTAAGGTAAAGAAAAACAAACTTCCAGACGAAAATAAAGAAAATTTGGTAATGCAAAGCGTGGTTGAGACACCTCGTACGTCTTTACGTCAAATTGAAGCCACAACAGGTGTTGCGCGGTCAACGGCGAATAGTATTTTAAAGCGTCATAAATATCACCCCTATCGTAAACGGCCCTGCCGGGGACTCTAGAATGGCGATGCAATTAGAAGAATGGCATTTTGTCAGTGGTTTATTCAAAGAAATAACGAGATAGCAAACTTTTCCTTAAAAGTCCTTTGGTCAGATGAGAGCCAATTTACTAAATGTGGACTATTTAATCGTAAATACCGTTTTTTGGTCTGATGAAAATCCGTTCGTTCCGCTAGTTCGTCAAGTTAGGCACCAAGTTAGGTTTGGATTTAACGTCTGGTTAAGTATTGTGGGTACCCACGTGATTGGACCATTTTTTTTAAATGTGAAATTAAATTCTGAGAGATATTTGAACCTCTTACAAACTAACATAGCGGAAGCACTTATGGATGTTCCAGTAGCTACCCTGCAAAACTTGTATTTCCAACAAGACGGCGCGCCGCCACATAATGGACGTATTATCACAGACTTTTTAAATCACGAATTTCCCAACAAGTCGATAGGCAACCTGGGACCAGTAGACCAGCCTGCGAGATCCCCTGACATAACACCGATTTATTTTTTTTTCATGGGGTTTCCTCAAAAATGTGGTATAGTGTAGGTCATACGAAACCGAAGAGGAGCTGAGACACGCTGTTATAGAAGCTGTTAACAGAATTACCCCAGAAATGATCAGAAAATCCTGTGAAGCAGTAATGAGACGATGTATGTTGTGGTTGCGAGAAAACGGGGCTTATTTGAACACCTACTTTAATGCTAAAATGTTACTTGTTCTTTTGCAGTGTTTGATGTATGATCAATAATAATCTAAAGTAATAATTAATGGAAATGTCAATGCCTACTACCATAAAATCTTAATTTTGTTAATTTTAATTATTTATCTTGACCGAACATAAACATTTAGAAATGTTTTCCGGGCTTTGAAGCCGTGGTCTATGGGAATTTCTTCCTGACGTTTCGTCCACAACTGCGGTGGACATTATCAAAGGCGAT